GATGGATTTTTTTAACAAAAAACAGGCGAATCACAGCTCGCCACGTCAGTATTGTCAGCAAACCCTGACTGCCATCCCTGTCACAGTAGCTTTATTGGAATTCAATAGCCAAAGCTGGTTGTTGGGGGGAAACCAAAGGCAGATTTGACAATATGGGTTTCTGGTAGCCAATACAGCCCATTGGTTTTCACTTTGAATAAAATGCCATGGGAAAAGTTATTCAAACATGGTTGACCGGGAAAAACAGGTGCATGTGCCGCACCTGTTTGGGTAATTTTTTTTATTTTTTAAACTGTCCAATCAATGAATGATACGACATATTTTTAAATTTGTTATTAACCCTGTTTTTGTAGCAAAACTCGTCGTATTTAAAATGTGTGTGTGTGTGTATTTCGATTCTTCTAAACTAATAACAATTATGACATCACGTGGCAACAGATCATTGGAGATTTTAAATTTTTGACAATTTTTTCACCCAATTAATATTCGACAACACTTGTAATGTCAACAAAAGCGGCAGAAAAACTCTATCTATTGGACTGTTTAAAACACAGTCAACTTTTTCAATCAATCACATTTTGCTAACACTTATTTTTTCCATCATTACGTCACATTTTTTGGACAAAGTAGCATTATTCTTGATTAAAATGTGGGCATCATCTCACAAAGAAGTAGGTGAGCACGTGATTAGGTGTGCAAATCCGTGCGACATACTCATTAAAGAGTAAACGTGAAGGAAAGCTAAAATACGCCACTCCAAAGGGAACAGTGCTCTAATTTCCAATCAAAGGACTTCAAAAAGAAGATAAGAACCTAACACTACAAAAAGTAAAATAGAAAAAACCTATAGAGCCAACTCCAAATAATAATATTAAAAGACTCAACTTTTTGGAATGAAATGATTCTATTTCAATGGATAGATTTTTATTTTATTTTTTTAATACAAAAGGTGTTCTTTATTCGTGAATATCTAATTTATCCTTACGACGTTCCTAGTATCTCAAGGATTAAGAGATTCTTATCACGGTTTGATTTTGATAAAAATTAAATTTTTAATAATTTTTGATGAAAATTGATGAAATATATAATTTAAAATTTAATAAAAGTTATGAATCTCATCGAACATGTAGTTGAAAATGAATTTGAAGAAAATAGGGTCAAAAAAGCATTTCTCTAGCTATTTATCAAGTAATTGTCTTAGGGATGGCAAAAAAAACCGCCCCGCCCCGCCCCGACGGTGCCCCGCCCCGAATGGGGCGAAAAAAACCGCCC